GCTTGCAAATCGTTAACAACAGGAATAGTTTCTGCACTGCAGTCTAAAGTTTGATTCATATTGGCTCTGTTTTGGCCTTTTCCTGTATGCGGGGACGGGACGAGGGAGTGGCGTCTAATGGGCCGAAAGTGTGCATTACGGGGCCACAGAGACCTTCAGCGTACATGATTAGCACTCTTCTGCATGAAGCCCAGTCGTTTTTTCTGTGAAAAGTCGTTAATTAAAAAAATGCAAATTTGAAGGGAGTCAGGAGAGGATTACGAAATCCGTAAAAATGCGCTCGCTTTTAAGCTTGGACAAAATTAAGTATTTGTTACATTCACGCGTAGAGTGTTCCCCTTTCCCTGCTCCTCTGTCCCCAAAACTGACTTAAGGTCACACATAAATATCGAATGTCGTTGCAAAGTTTCAGTTTCGCAGCTCGGTAAGCGAAATAACCGTTTCGCTTCGGACATCTTTGAAGTGCCTAAAATCGTGACACAAGTGCAAACTGATACTGTGTTTAGGTTTACAATTTTCCATATGAACGAAAAATATTCAGAAAAAATTTCGCTTTCTGTTCTCTGGCTGATTTTCGAGCAGGCACAGCGCCAAACGCAAACTTTGACGTAGCCATGCGCGCAGTAGCTGAATTTGTAATCTTTAGCTCAAATATGTACAGAGAGCGTTCCAGCAAAGTTTCGGATTTCTGTCTTGCCTGATTCACGAAATCGTTTCCTGCCAAAGAAATTTGTACAGTTTTTCGAGGGTCCGTACGCGAGATCCAGGCGCGTATGAGCGAAGATTTTGAAATGGGGAGTGGACAGAGAGAATAAAACCCCAAAATTCCAATCTTCCAGCTTTCCCGGTTGCTGGGTTGAAGGGAAGTGAAAGGTTCACTTGCATCCGAACACACACACACGGATGACCTCTCGACCATATGCGTTTTGGCTCACTGCAATAGCGCTACAGCACTGCACAGAAATCATTGACTGGCGACGCGCACCGGACGGGCCCGTGCGATCATGCGTTTTTGCAATATTTCGTGCTGTAGTGAGTTCGCTCTGTAACCCAGTAAATAGAAATGTGTGATATACTGGTCCTCGTAGTCTGGGAAGTTAATTGTCTACGCGGTATTTGGACAGGGGACATTTCGGCGAAATTTCAGCATTCCAAATTTTCTTCTTGAGTTAGCAATTTACCTGCCAAAAATATTCACCAGGCCGTAGATGACAACCACGTTTGCCTGGGGGGCTGAGTTTGATGAATTTAAGCAGTGCATGGGTTGGGAACATTTCCTGAAAATTTCAGCCTCCCAGCTTTCCTAGTCCCTGAGTTAGCCGTTTTCCCGGCAAAAATTTTCATGGGATCGTACCGGAGTACCACATGCAATTAGGGGCTGAATTTGGTAATTTTAAGTTGTACCCTTGCCGGAAACATTTCCTGGAAATTTCAACTCCCCACCTTTCCTTGTTCCCGAGTTAGCGATTTTCGCGCCAGGAACCCTCACGGGACCATACGCGGGAACCACGCATGCCTGAGAGCTGAATTTGAAAACCCCAAGTTCTACGAAGGCGTGGGATATGACCTCAAAATTTCAGCTTTCTAGCTTTTCTAAGTCCCGAGTTAGCGATTTTCCCGCCAAAACTTTCAACTCCTTGTATGCGGGGACCAGACTTGTGTGAGAATTGATACCGCGATCCTGGGGTGGCACTTGGCCAGGGAACCCACCAGCAAAATTTTGGCGCCGGAGCTTGCTTGGGTGCCGAGTTGAAATATCCGGACAG